CCTCGTGGTGAGAAGCCAAACCTGCTGCGGCAGAAGAACAACAAGGTGAACCAGCTCCTGAAGACCTCACTGCCCAAACTCTCCAGTGTCCAGCTGCTGGACGTGGATGCCGGCTTTGTGCACTCAGATGGCACCATCTCCTGCCACGACATGTTTGATTTTCTGCACCTATCGGGTGCCGGCTACGCCAAGATCTGCAAACCCCTCCATGAACTGATCATGCAGCTGCTGGAGGAGACCCCCGAAGAGAAGCAGGCGACTTTGGCCTGATCCCAGCCGTGTCCGTGGCACCCCAGCTCCATCAGCGCAGTTCTTTTTATCCTGGCACTACAGAATCCTCCTTACTCAAAGTGCTTTCCATTGTTGAATGTTACTGGGTGTTGTGTTTAGCATTGGAAAGAAAAGGGGACTGGGGGGGTGGCTGGGATGGCAGCACATGGGTCAGCTCAGTCAGTCAGAGCCACCTGCAGAGGGTGGTTTAAATTGACCGAAGAAGGATGATACTTTAAAGTCATTTCTTGTTTACAGTGTGAACGTTCCTGTCACCTGTTCGTTGCTCATGTTCTGCTGTCACTCTGCCAGTTTCCTCGCCTTAGTGTCCTGCCAGGCTTATTATTCCAATAGCCCCTAAATGTCTGAGCTCATTAGCTGCACTCACATTCCACTTCCTGAACTGAAAGTAGCCTGCTTCTTTAAAAGTTGGAATTGTTTGGAGAATTTTTATACTTAACTGGGGTTGGGTTTTTTTTGTTTTAAGTGATCTTAGCTGCTTTTCTGGCTTTGGCAACAACAGAAAGCAGGATAAAGCTACATCAGGCAACTTCAGACGTGTGAAAAATTAATTGTCAAGTGAGTGAACTCATTTAACTCAGCCTGTTTTCATTTCTTGCTTGATGGATGTCATTCTGTTGCTGGGGAAGAGGGGACTGCCCAATTTCTGCATCCTGGTAGAACCATTTGTTCTCTCTTCTCTCTCCCCTTCCCCCTTTTGTGTGCTTTGATTCAACATTCCCATCTCTTAAAAGGCCCAGTGGCCTTTGAGCCTGGTCAGTGGCCGGACGTACCCACCAATATAAACTGACATTTCTTCCCGCTGTTCCATATTGTGCTTCGGAATGCTTTGCAGAGCTGCTTGTGTTCATTTTTAAAAGAAAGAGCAAAAAGGAAGTGACTGTTACTTCTCCTACCCTCTTAACGTCATAATCCTTGCTCATTTCCCTTCTCTCAAGGCCTGGACCAGGCTGAAGCTTTACAAGGCCCAAGGTTGTGTTTCTTGGTTGGGTCTGTCTTGTACAAGCATTTTATTCAAGCAGATGAGGCCTCTGACAGTGAGGGACATAATTGAGCTATAGACGTTACCTCTCTTGAGTAGGAAAGGGTCCAGTGTGGAAAGCATGTTTCCGGGGATTCCTGTATAGAGATTACCAGGGATATAAAGCCTTAATTCATGTCTACGCGGATGGGAGAGATTTTCCCACGAAGGGAAAACCTCTTTCAGATTTCTGGTTTTAGGAATCTGAAAAAAAGCAAGTTTTTTTTATAAAAAAACAAATATGCTTCCATCTATGGTCTGCTTTTACCTGAGCTAGTTCAGAAACATCAGCTATTTAAACTTAGCCAGTTGTGCATAGTTCTAACATGTTCTTCTGCCCTCCCCCAAAGTCTTGTGCATGAGACTTTAGTGGCTCCTTTTTTGTCGTGGAAATGCTTTTTCATATCAGAAGGTTCTTGGGAGCAAGTTCACTTTCTGAACACGCTCACTTGATGTCTTCCAAGTAGGCCTTTATCCTAGCATTTATCCTCTCCCCCGCCCCCACCCTATTACCTTGCTCCTGTAGACTTCCTCCAGCACAGGTGGGGAAATGCAAAAAGCACAGAGCTGCTACTCCACAAAAGAGTGGTGGGGGAACAGTGTGTGTTGAAATCCTGAACTGGGGTGGCCGTGGTTGAGCTGGCCATACACTGCTGGGGATTTGCTGCTAACCCTTTTGTGGAAAAGGTAGCACTGGCCTAACTCTTCCTGAAATACCTCTCTGGTGTTCCTTCCATGCTAGTGAAACAGCTGCTTGTGGTCCAAATGCTCCTTTTGGAAGATGTTCCTCCCCTTCACAGACCCTGGCCCTGAACTAGCTGCTTCTCTGGGGTCTGTCTCAGTTGCTTTTTGCCATTTCCCCTGTCTGCTGCCCTGGATCCGACCTAAAGGCAGGTCAGTATCTTCCTGTCTGTCCTGTCACAAAGAGAAGCTTCTCATGAACAAGACTGGAGAATGTTGTAGGTCCCGCCCCACCCCTTATTTGAACCCTGTTGCATCTGCAAGTGCTGACATGTATCCTGCTTCTCTGTATCCCCAAACAAGATCCTAATATTGGGATGTGCTTGGCTGCCCAGTGCTCCTGGTAACCCAGGAATACGTCTTGTGCATCATATACTGCCCCGCCTTGAGCTTTTACATGGCTTTTCCCTCTAATCTCATTGCTGTTTACAGTTGTATGCTGCCGCCCAGAATCTCGTCTGTGCAGTGGTATATGAACATTGCTAGTTTTATATTTATTGCAGCAAAGAAAAAGTGTGAAAGAAGGTTAAGGAATGTTGTCTTTCTCTCGTCGTGTGTGCGTGTGTGTGTGTGTGTGTGTGTGGCTGTAACAAAGGGACCCTGTGTCCAAAGGAGAGAATTGTGGTTCTGGCAGCATGCTGGCTCAAGAGTGTGGAAACTCCTTGGAGCCTGACCTTTTGCTGCTGGGAGTTTGGGAGGGTGCTTTCTCCCCTCTTTTTTTTTTTTTTTTTGTTTGTTTTATTTTTTTTACTGGTAGCCAACTGAACTTTCCACCCCCACCACCAAAAAAAGTGATGATAATTGCTTTGGCAAAATGGCATTGATGACTGGTAGAGCTCACTGTTTAGTGCATATTTCAATATAAATGTATATGTTTCACCAATTAGTTCTTGTGAGTGTCTCTCATTTCAGGTAGGGTGGGCGGGTGTGCTGCTTGGAGCCTCCCAGATTCTTGAGGTCTAGCCCCAAACTGCATTAAGAACCGTGTGTGCATCAGAAATGTACTAGTTCTCTGGTGGTTGTTTTTTTTTTTAAAGCCTAAGGGGGAAGGGGACATGTATATCAACAAGGTTATACTGGAGCAGCGGGAGCTGTAATTAAAACTCTCAGATTATGGTGGGGTATATATTTTTATTAACACCACAAATGTGGGTGTTTGGGGGGAGTAATTTTCAAATTCAAAAAAATCATTCTAAAATCTTGTTCAATTTTGTGTTTGTTCAGATTTGGTCTTCATTTCTTGTTTGTAAGCTCTTCCTACAAGCAAGGATGTTCCTGAAATTCCCCTTCTTTGTGGGCAGCCAAGAGGCTATAAAAATGTGCCTCCTAACAAGGGATTGTTGGTGTTTTACAGGAGCATGGCCAATGTCCTCCTCCTGGTTACAGCATGGCAAGTTGCTGCCTACCAGCCATCTGCATGGAGGTGGGGAATGGCTAAGCTCTGTATCCGGGCAACAAATTGTATAAACTCCCTTTTTTTCAGATGAGTGCAGTTGATGAGCTCTAGACTAGGATTCTGTTAGAAATGCCCTTCCATCCACCATTTGGGCTTGCATAGTAGGCAGAAATGTCATCTGTAGCCCGCCCCATTGTAGAAACAGCTGCCTTGGTGCTGGACAAATAATAGGTGGAAACCTTGTTTCTTGGTAAGGAAGTACTGCACTGGTGCACCTAGGGCTGAAAGTAGAGTGTTGCATCAAAACTAGGTGATCCCATTTCAGCAGGGTTTGGAAACCCTTTTTGAAAGACATAAAAATTGCAGGTAGCTATGTTAAGCCGGGGGACGGATGGGATCTGAACTCTTTTAAGACCTTTATGCAGGCCATCTCCAACTGTTGGATTTAGGTGCACTCTTTTTTTCTTCTTCTTTTTTGGTAAGCATTTCTGAGAACCATAGCTAAAGAGGGCCAACAAATAAATGTCAGAAGAGACTAAACAAGTATTCCAGTTACTCCTAACGTTCAGGGTGAAAGTTAAGCCGCCAACAACACAACAACACTGGTGGCAGTGAGAACTGAGCATGCTGCTAGCAATACCATCAAAGGCTCTTGCTGCTGCAACAAGCAACTGCAAACTTCTCCTTTAGTAAACATTTGTATGTTGCAATTCTGCACTGAATAGTAAGCAGGTTCCAGTTCGTCCTGTCCTAAATTACTGTCTCCAGGGATGAGCTCTTTTTAGATTTTATTTCTTAGATTTCCATCCTTCCTCTCAAAGGAGGAGCCCCAGGCAGCAAACACCCAAAAGTTAATACAATTTTAAAACAGTTACAGATAGGTAGCCGTGTTGGTCTGCCATAGTCAAAACAAAACTTAGTTGGTCTTTAAGGTGCTACTGGAAGAAAAAAAAATTTGTTTTGACAATTTTAAAAGACGTTTAAAACGCTTCAAAATCTACTAGAAACAAGTAAAAAAAAACCCCACGCATTTATAACTTTTTAAAGCAATAGCATATCCTCACACCTGCTATGGACAAGGTTACCCTGACCGGTATCCTTCAGCCGCCAAGTGCCTGCGTAAGCAGAAATGTGTGTACATTTCTCCTGAAAGTCAGCAATGCTGGAGGCAGAAACACCTTCCCATATACAGGCAGGTAGGCGCACCTGCCGCCTCCTCTCTTTGCCAGGCGCCTTCCGGAGAGCTGGCGCGTCCTCTAGTGCTTCTCTCTTGTTGTGCATTGCTTTTCCGCTGAAAACTTTTCAGCATCTCCCAAGAACCTACGCCTGGATCGTCCGCGCACGGGAGATGCAGGGGCTGCTTATCACAAAAAAGGCACATTTTTCTACGCGCCCCGTGTACCATTTCCTCTGCCGCGAGAGGTGTGTGTGTGTGTGTGTGTGTGTGCCCCCCCCCAAAAAAAGTCCTATTTACGAAAGAGGCCTCCGGCTCCTACCCGGGCTGTGCCATAGGCAGGGCAGCTGCGGCCGTCCGGCTCCTGCCCCTTTAAGGAGGAGCGTCCTCGGAGGTGACGTCACGGCCCGACCGGCCCGAGTGTTTACCGCGCGGCCTCGAGCCAGTCGCGAGCGCGGCGAAGTAGCGAGAGGAGCCTTAAAGGGGCCGCGCTTGCCTCTCGCCCCGGGGGGAGGCCCGTCCTCGGCCTGCTGCGGGAGCCCCGACGCTTAGCGACGGGCATGCTGGCTCCAGCCGCCCCCACCTGCTGCTCTTCCTCCTCCGTCCCCGTCAGCCGCTGCCGCCGCCCGCCTGCCGGGCTGGGGCCATGCTAGGCCCGCAGGGGGCGCCCCGTCTTCTCCTGCCGCCGCTGCTGCTCCTGCTCTTGCCCGGGTCGGAGGCGGCGGCCGGCAAGAAGACCGTAGTGCAGAAGGAGGCCGACTTCGACAAGCCCTACACGGACGCCGTCAACGGCGAGCTGCTCAACATCTACGCCTTCAACCACACCGTCACCAGGAACGCGGTGAGCAGCCTCTGGGCGTGTGCAGAGGGCGCCCTTGCAGGGCAGTCTGGAGCCCCACCCGGGAGGGGGCGCTGCTGGGCCGCCCAGTCTCGTACACCGCTTAGGAAGGGACGGAGCCCCCCTGCCCGCCGTTGTCCCTGTGCGGGAGAAAGGGGGTTGCTGGGTATTGTGAGGGCACCGGGGGAAGGCAAGTATAAATAAGGATGCTTTGGCTCTCTTGGGCAAGACAGCCCCCTTTCGCAAACCCGCCCGCCCAGTTACGAAGTGCAAGCGCTTTTGGAAAGGACCCAGGGAAGCCCTTGCTTGTCTAAGCAGAGAGGTCTGCGAGAGAGCCACGTCCTCTTCCGCCCCACCTTATCCTTATTTGTTTACAGTCAGTCCTAAGGCTGTTTGGGTGCCCAGCCAGCAGCGATTCCTGCCCTTCTTCCGCACTTGTGGAACTCACAGAATTGTAGAGTTAGGAGGGACCCCGAGGGTCATCTAGCCCAACCCCCTGCAATGCAGGAATCTCAGCTAAAACAACCATAGCAGATGGCCATCCAACCTCTGCTTAAAAACGTCCAAGGAAGGAGAGACCACACAACCTCCAACGGCTCTTACTGTCAGAAAGTGGTTTTCCTGATGTTTAGCTGGAATCTCCTTTCTTGTAACTCGACCAGCCTCAAGTTCCTAGATCTCAAGGAAAGGCATCTCTGCCCAACAGAGCTGTCCCTCTCCAGAGCTGCGCCTCTACAGCTTAAACTCCCTTTGTCCCCAAAGGTGTGTCAAAGGTGAGATGAGCTGTAAGATCTTCTTGGCAGACCTTTGGCCTCCAGGTGGCACCAGGGAATTCTCACTTTGTGATCTGGTGTGACACTTTGCTGGGTTGTGGCACTTCAGCCTGTTTGTTCTGGGCAGTTGGCCTTTGTATCCACGGCCTCCCAAATTAGCAGCCAAGAAGGTAGAGGTCAAAGGTGGTTATCCTTATTCACCAGCAGCAGCTCCCAAGTCTGGAGGACGCATAGAGCCTACAACCCTCATCTGCCAGCTGTTGTTTTCCAGGTGAAAATCCACCTGCAACGTCATTCCTGTCTCGTCACCTAGTGCAAGTGTACAGAAGGATCATGTCCCTCCTTAAAGCAGCCACTGTGAGGGGTGTGGCTTAAAGGTCTGCGTCATCAGCACTAAGTTGAGTTCCTGCTCCTGATGCTAAACTTAGAGAGAGAAGTTTTTCTACACTTAAACATGGCAGCCCAGGAAATAATACTTACTTAAATTCCTAGGCATGCCGTTGGGTTCCTTTGGGAGGAAAAGAGTGGGATATAAATTTAACAAAACAAATATAAAGTTAAAGAAAAGGGGGGCTGGCAGTCCTGTGCCAAACTGAAAATGTTGTTCTGCTCCCTTGGCACCAGTACAAATCATTCAGTACCAGCACAGGGCAGGTGCCCAAGGTTATTATTTCACACACACAGGCATCTCACTCCTTCCAGTGCAGTTTTCTTGGCTTTCAGTCAGCTGTTATATTATTGCCTCCCCTTCCCTGCTCCCCGCAAGTTATGAGGATCCCGTAGGCAAAAGCCAGCCTCCTTCTGCAACAAGGTGCAGGGTCATAGCTCAGTAGAAGAACATCTGCTTTGCATGCAGAAGGTCCCAGGTTCAGTCCCCAAGGGCACTTCCAGGTAGGGCTGGGAGATATTCCTGTCTGAAAGAGACACTGTTGGTCAGAGTAGAGAACACTGAGCTGTTCCTAGCGGCTGAGTGCCTAGTAAGGGGTCTCTAGACTTCATGCCAGCAAGAATGCAAGACCTCATTTTCTTTTCCTGGATTGTTGAGAAGAGGGCTTGTCTGGGACTCAGAGGCCAGTCCAGGAGCAGCTCCCCATTGAACTACTCCTCCTTGGCTTAGGGTCACGTCTCCTTGGTCAGTGTGTCTGAGGTGCCAGGGCAGCCTTTCCTGGGGTGCGGCAGAGCCCGACACTTTCTGCTCCTGAAACGGTCTCCCCTTGTTCTGCTCCGTCCTCTCTGTGCCAGGAAAGGTGTAGAATCCGTACCTCACTGCAGAGTAACAATGACTGGTGGCCTCTGCACATCCTAGGACCTTTGCAGGGGGCCGAAGATGTATTTATTGAGCAACCCAAGCCTTCTTTTCTTCTTGACAGATGGGAGCACAGGCCAGGTCTGAGCTCTTGCGCAGACCTTTAGGGGAGTTGACCCAGGCGGCTGGCTGCAGAGTGCTTTCTTGGGCACCTGCCAGCCAGACTCATTAGCATCATTAGCTGTCTGCTGTCCTTTGCAACTAGTGGCCTCATGGGTGCCTTTGGTGGGTGGGAGGAGAAAGAGAGAGCAAGCAAAAGGTCCGAGGTGAGACATGCTTGGCTCTGCCTCCTGCCCCCTGTTTGCTGGACTGCTGCATCCTGAGCCAAACCCAACAATCTCTTGTTCTCGCCCCTGCAGACAGAGGGAGTCCGGGTGTCGGTGAACGTGCTCTCAGAGCTGAAGGAGACGCCGGTGCTCTTTGTGGTCAGGCAGAAGGAGGCCGTGGTGTCGTTCCAGGTGCCGTTAATCCTCAGGGGCCTGTGAGTATCTCTGTGTGATGGACAGGCTCTTCTTTGCCCAAGTCTTCTTCGCAGGCCCTTGGGGGTGGCCTCTTCCTGGCTAGAGGGATGCAACAGTGAAACATCCTCCGTCCAGCCACCATTCCCATTGGGGGCCCCATGGTCTGGCTCTTCTTACCTGGTGGCTACCCTTAGCCAAGGACAAGGTGACTGTGGGCCTGAGACCAGCTGGGTAGAAGGATGCTGATGCCAGGTGGGAGTTCTGCTCCTTCCGAGCCACAAAGGTCTCGCTCAGACGGGGCTGTTGGGTATTTGAATCGGACTGTGCTTGGGTGCCCCTGGTTGGTGTTCGCCAACGCCCCTTCCTTCTGCCTCGGGCCTCCAGGTACCAGCGGAAGTACCTCTACCAAGATGTCAGCCGCACACTGTGCCAGCCTCAGACCAAGAGCGAGGTGGAGATGCAGTTCTTCTACGTGGATGTTTCCACGCTCTCCGTGAGCAACGCCTCCTACCAGCTGCAGGTCACTCGTGTGGATAACTTTGTGCTCAGGTGAGCAGCCTCTGACCTCTGGGGCTAGAAGCAGCCAAGGAGCCGGCTGCTTGTCCTGGCAGGTCCTCTTCGGCTGAAGACCAGGCCCAGGAGTAGATGAGGTTGTGGTGGGAGCAGCAACGGTGCCCTTTGCTGGGTGCGGAATGGGAAATAAGATTCAGAAGAATTCAGGGTGGGGGAAAATAAAGGAACACAGTCCCAGACACTGAAGGTGTGAAGGGGATCACAAAGTTCCTCTGAGCGTGTGCAACATTCTGCCCCCTCCCAATCCCTTAGGTAAAGTTAGGGGACTCACTTAGAGGGTGCAGCTTTCAGGCTAACACAATCTTGGCTCCTCCAGCCGCTATAAGTGTGTTCCTCCCACCAATAAACACACACATTGCACACACTGCTTTGTGGTTTTTCTCTACAAGAGGTATGTAACTTTTAAAGGTAAAGGTACCCCTGACTGTTAGGTCCAGTCGCGGATGACTCTGGGGTTGCACGCTCATCTCGCTTTATAGGCCGAGGGAGCCCGCGTTTGTCCGCAGACAGCTTCCGGGTCATGTGGCCAGCATGACTAAGCCGCTTCTGGCAAACCAGAACAGCGCACGGAAACACCGTTTACCTTCCCGCCAGAGTGGTACCTATTTATCTACTTGCACTCTGATGTGCTTTCGAACTGCTAGGTGGGCAGAAGCTGGGACCGAGCAACGGGAGCTCACCCCGTCGCGGGGATTCAAACCGCCAACCTTCTGATCGGCAAGCCCTAGGCTCTGTGGTTTATGAAACAATTTAAGTCTTTCCTTTTCTTATTCCCTAACACAGGACCAATGAGCACTTCACCTTCAATGCCACGGCAGCGCAGCCACAGGTGAGTTCTCTCTGTAAGGGTGAAGAATAGAGAGGGCACCAGATGGTAATTGCCAGAAGGAAGGCCCATCGGACCGAGGTTTCATTGATGAATCACGGACTTGTGGGTGGCTCTGTATCTGGTTGTGACGTGGGAAGAGCTTGTGCTGGTTTGTAATACCTCAGAAACAGTGGCTCTGGTGGTGTTGTTGTTGTGGGAATGTAGGAATCTCTTGTCCAGCAAGCTCAAGGTTGTCTCCCCGGAAGCAGAGAGAAAGCTATTTTTAAGAACGTGGCCATTAATATCCCAGGAGTAGAGATAGCCCAGTTGGTAGAGCAAGAGACTCTTAATCTCAGGGGCATGGGTTCAAGCCTCACATTGGGCAAAAGATTGCTGCATTGCAGAGGGTTGGACTAGATGGCTCTTGGTGTCCCAACTCTACAACCCTATGATTCGAATTTCTGAGCTGCAGCTGATTGTGCTATTTTGGGGGAGGGGGCACGGTAAAGGAAGGTAAAAGGGTGTTGGGGTGGGCTTTACGCCTTCCAGGGGCTGCATGTGGCTTCTTAACGTCTCCCTCTTCTCCTGGGCAGTATTTCAAGTATGAGTTCCCGGAGGGTGTAGACTCTGTGATAGTGAAGGTGACCTCTGCCATGGCCTTCCCCTGTTCTGTCATTTCCATCCAGGACATCTTGGTAAGTGAGATGGGTGGTTAGACCATGGAGGGCATATTTTTTCCATGAAGGATCCTGCCTTTTTTGGAGCAGTGGAGTGGCTGACCCTGCTTCCTTCCTTCCTTCCTTCCCTCAGTGCCCTGTCTACGACCTGGACAACAATGTGGCCTTCATCGGCATGTACCAGACCATGACCAAGAAGGCAGCCATCACTGTGCAGGTACCGGACTCAGGCTAGGAGCTGCGCCAAGTGCAATCTGAGCCCCGTAGAAGCGGCCAGGCTGGCTTCCCCGTTGCTTCTGGTGTCTGGTAGCATCAATTAGCAGATGGTTGCAGTGGTGTCGCTTGCGCCGGGGAATATTATCTGTGCCCTTGGTGCTCCCGAGGAAGCGATGCTTGTTTAAGAGAAAACTGATTCTTAGGGTGCTTTGTGTGGCAGGCACGACGCCTCTGCCTCGGTGGCTGGCAAATAACGGGGTTCGCAGCCCTGGTCTGGCCTCAAATCCTGCCATCAGTTGGTCTGCCACTCACTAGGAACATCTTAGGGTGGTGTATGTGTGTATATAGGTAAAGGTAAAGGGACCCCTGACCATTAGGTCCAGTCGTGACCGACTCTGGGGTTGCGGCGCTCATCTCGCTTTATTGGCCGAGGGAACCGGCGTACAGCTTCCGGGTCATGTGGCCAGCATGACTAAGCCGCTTCTGGCGAACCAGAGCAGCGCACGGAAACGCCGTTTACCTTCCCGCCAGAGCGGTACCTATTTATCTACTCGCACTTTGACGTGCTTTCGAACTGCTAGGTTGGCAGGAGTATATAGGTATACATATGCGTATATGTATATGCTCTCAGAAGAGCCCAGATGCCCCACAGCGGAGTCCTTTTAGTGCCTGCTAGCTGGCACATTGTCATGGAATTTCTGCAGCCCAGGGAAGACGGTTCCTGATGCTGCTCTTCCACCCTCTTGTTAACTTCCAGAAGAAGGATTTCCCCAGCCACAGTTTCTACGTGGTGGTTGTGGTGAAGACAGAAGACCAAGCTTGTGGTGGGCCGCTGCATTACTACCCCTTTTCCAAAGGTACAGAGGTGGGAGTTCGGGGATGGGGTGGGGGCTTCAACAGAGATGATGTCTGTGTTTGGGGGTTTTTGCCCTGCCGCTAGGGGCCCGCCATGGCAGAATCCCAAAGAGACAGCGACTGGGTGGTGGGGTGTTCTGTGAGTCTGGCATGTTTCTATATCACTTTTTGCTATAATTTGCTCTGGGAGACTTTTGTTGCCAAATAAACACTTTGCATGCAAATACAATTAAACAATGCCACGAAGTGATTCGGAAGAAAGTGCTAAGGTGAGCTAACAATAGATCCTTTGAAAACTACTGGAGATTTATTTTTATTTTTGAGAGGGAGGAATAGAGATCTTATGTTGTACATATGCAGCAAATTATCTGCGCATTGACCCCTGCCCTCCTTAAGCGCAAACTCAAGCCTCTTCCCCCTTCCCTTGGACTGGGAGGCATCCTGCTGCAGGACTGTTTGAAGTCTGTATATAACCCTCTTTTAATTAACCTCTTACATTGCCAACCCCTATGTAGACCATGAATCACAGTGCAGTACGGTCAGAGAAAAGGGAGTCCCATGCTGACTCGAAAGGGTAAAATAGTGGGTAGTGTCTGGTTGTAGAAAGCGACCAAGAGAAAGTATTGCATCTTGCCTGCTGAAGAGATCCATCCTGCCTGCAGAAAAATAACCATGGACTGTGCTGCTTTCTTGCTTGGCTAACCCTGGTCTTTTTGTCCATTTAGACGAACCTGTTGACCAAGGCAACCGCCAGAAGACCCTGGACGTGGTGGTATCGCCAGCAGTCACTTGTAAGTAGCCCTGGGTGTCAGCTGCACCCATTTGAATGGGCGAGGGAACACAGGGAACAGCCCTGATTGGAGACACCAGGTTCCACCTCCTTACCCTGACTAGGGTTTTGAACCGCTGCCACTCAGCTTTGAAGGGCTGCTGCAAAGAGCATGGAGCGTATCTGTTTTCTGTTGATCCACTGGTTAGGACCCCCGACTGGTGGCTTCAGATCACCCACAAAACGATTTAGTCTAAACGTTAGGAAGAATTTCCTGATGCCTCAGAAGGTGGTGGACTCTTGAGCAGAGGCTGGGTGGCCACTTCCTCCTCCTCCTCCTCCTTCCTCCTCCTCCTCTTCTCAGGGATGCTGTCGGCAGTGGGTTTTCCACATCAGCAACAGAGGGTTGAGCTGATGTCCTTTGAGGTCTGCTCCAGCTCTGCGATTCTGTGTAGCCCCCGATTGTGTACTGAAGGGGCAGGAATTTTGCATGAGAGTGACTTAATTCCTGCACCAGACATTTTCACTGGGCTATTTTCCATAAGATGGAGGTAAGCGGCAGAGAAAGGAAGAGAGCCTAGGTGGACCTAAGCAGGCATCCCACCTGTGCTTGGAAACAGGACTTTAAAGTTGTCAGCTCCAGCAGCTGCTGCTGCACATCTACAAGGTCTTCCTCTTTCCCCCTTCCCTGCAGCACAGGCCTATGTGAGCGGGATGTTGTTCTGCCTTGGGGTTTTCCTCTCCTTCTATGTCCTGACGGTCCTCATCGCCTGCTGGGAGAACTGGAGGTGAGTCCTACCTTTGCACCCATAGGTGGTGTGGCTCTCTCCTTCCTTTGCTTACCATTGCAGAGAGGCCGGTGCTCCTGCCATGCAGGTGGTCAGCATCACGACTGTCCATCAGCCCGGGATACAGGTCCTTCTTACCATCTGCCTTCCTAAGGTGTCCCAGAATTCAGTGTGCAGCTTGGCTGGCTTGCGAGAGCCATCTGGAAGAATAAATTTCCCTGCTTTCTATTTGGTGTCTGGATCGACGTGTGGCGGGGCACTCCTGCTTTGCAGCGGTGTTGTGAGCTGAAATAGCCCTCCCTCCCCAAACGGTACAGGTTTCCTGTGACTCCAGGCTGATACCATCCTATGTACCTCCTGAAATCACCTCCTTTGGGGCAGAACTCTCCACAATAGTCCTGTGGAGCCCCTCCTCCAGAGGGACAAAGGAACCATCCAGCCCACTTCTACCAGAGCCTCCCCCTACTCCCTTCCATGTACTTTTTGGTGGGGTGGAGAGTCTTTTTCTCTGTGGGTGAGGCAGCTGCCTGAGGCGCTCTTCATTACTTTATAGGCAACAGAAGAAGAAGCAACTGGGACTGTTGTCTGCCATAGAAACACCCAGTACTGAAACTGGTAGGTGAAGTCTGTGTGTGTTGTGGGCTAGGAGCCAGGGTGGTTCTTGCTCCATGCCGTAATGCTACAATTTCTGCGTGTGACACCATTTGTGTCCGCCTGTGCAATTGCTTGCAGATGTTCTTTCACTCAGCATCAAGGTGTCATACCATCTCTGTTAATTAATAGCCTTCCACGTGCTCATGCCTCATGGCAATGTACAACATACAATAAAAACAACTAAAAACACCCCCCCCCCAAAAAAAAAATGTTAGCAGGTAACTTTAAAAACAAAGTAAAGTAGACATTCATGCCAGAGACCTCTTTATCTAGCTGGGAAAGCCTGTCAGAACAATAAGGTCTTCAGTTGTTTATGGAAAGTGCTGTTAGCGGGTGTCTGTCATATCTCAACAAGGATTCAACTTGAACAGGGGCAGCCACACCAAAAGCCCTGCTCTGAGCTACTGAGGAAGGGGCTTCTGGTTTTTCTTGTCCCCTGTAGAGCTTTTGATGGATCAAGAGATCTTTGAGCAAGGGGACAGGCAACAGTGATGGCAAGTGTGTTGTTTGGGGAAGGGGGGTGTCAGAAGCACAAGGGGAGGACACTGGAACCATGGGCAAAACCTCTGGTTCCAAAACTGCCTGCAAAATCAATGAGATCTAGTACCCATTTTTCCCTTAAAAAAAAAAGCGGGGGGGGGGGAGGAGGAAGAGAACTGAGTTGCTATGGAAGTCCAAGCTTGTCACAAGACTCAAGTTCCCACTCAGCATTCCACATTTGTGCAATTTCAGTTGTCTAAATCTTCAACCTTGGGTCCCCAGATGTTGGTGCACTGCAACTCCTAAATCGGCTCATCCAGTTGCCATGGATGATGGGAGTTGTAGTCCAGCAACGGCTGGCAACCCAGGGTTGAAGAAGGCCGGCCTGAATGGCCGTGGACTGCTTCAGCATTTGGATGGGAGCCCTTCTTGTTGCCTGCCGCTTCCAGCTCTTTCACAGCATGGGGGATCTGCACTGGCCAGCTGCTGTGTCCCCCCTCCCCTTGCCAGAGTCAGCTCAGGCTTTCTGGGGGCACCTGCTGTGGCTTGGGGGGGCAGTTGTGGTGTAACACCCCTTGGCAAGTAAAGGTAAAGGGACCCCTGACTGTTAGGTCCAGTTGCGGATGACTCTGGGGTTGCGGCGCTCATCTCGCTTTATTGGCCGAGGGAGCCGGCATACAGCTGGTCATGTGGCCAGCATGACTAAGCCACTTCTGGCGAACCAGAGCAGCGCACGGAAACGCCGTTTACCTTCCCGCCAGAGTGATACCTATTTATCTACTTGCACTTTGACGTGCTTTCGAACTGCTAGAAGGGCAGGAGCAGGGACCGAGCAACGGGAGCTCACCCCGTCGCAGGGATTCAAACTGCCGACCTTCTGATCAGCAAGTCCTAGGCTCTGTGGTTTAACTCACAGCGCCACCTGTGTCCCCCTTTGGCAATTAAAGTTTGGGTGTTTACATCAGTAACTCTGTCTCTTTTTCCCTTTTTCTCTCTTGCTTCCCTTCCTCCTTTTTCTGGGGCACCTCGTGCTCAGCTTCTCTCCTTGGTAAGCACCAAACACCTCCTTCTTTCTCTTAACTTCCAAGCAAAGGATTCTCCCTCAGCCTTTTTGTTCCCTTTGCCTTGAGGAGGGTGTCAGGTCCAGGTGGGCTCTGAGGTTCTTTCCTAGACAGGAACCTCCGGAGCCATGGACTGGGGCTGCGTCTGGTTTATACCTCTTTGAAGAGACCTCCGTGATTGGGCGGCGAAATAAAAAATGGGCGACCTGTTCGCTCTGCCTCCTCTTCCCCAAACCTTTCCCTGATTCAAGACTGAGCCAAGGAGGAGTTGGCACCTTCGCCTGCCCACCCCCGTTCCCTGCGGTCACTGTCTGCTGATGGTTTGTTGCAGGGCATCCCCACATCACCCCAGACTCCTTCCTGGGGCGCCAGCCTTACAACGGCTACAGTTATGGTTCCTTTGGTGAGTCCCAGGTGCAGATGGTGCCTCCCCCCTGAAGCCCCTCAGCCCACCTGTGCTGCAGGTATAGATACCAGGCCTGGCCTTTGGGAACTGCTGTGCCTGTTTATCCAGGAAACCTGGTGGTGCAAATGAGCGAGACACTTCAAGGGGGTGGGATGGGGGGAGGGAATTGCCACCGCCACCTCTCTTGTGATCACCTGAGAGGTCTGAGCCTTGCTGCGCCACTCACTCTGTTTTGCCCCCTCCCTGCCCTCCCAATTGCTGTTGCAGACAACGGTTCTACGGCCAGCACAGAAAATGTCACCGACAGCCTGCTGTCCACAGAAGCATCCTACAGTTACACAGGTGAGCTGCTTACCTGTACAGGTGGGAGTCTGGGGGATGCAGAGACCAGATTCCTTCTCTCAAGTGCATGGTGGGAGGCAGCCGAGTACCCCAAGAAAGTGGGCACACAGGGTGAGCCGGGCTGCTGGGCCTCGTGGATCTTTGGGCCTTGCGAACCGCTTCGGGGGGAAGTTCCTGGCTTGTCGGTTGTTGTTGGCATTTCTGTGGCGGGTCCTGAGAGCTAACTCCTCTGTGTAACTCTTTCCTTTCCTTTCAAGGGCAGGATACCTGTCAGCACCGCCAGAGACACTGGGCCATTGCAATGGGTAGATGCTGGCAGAGAGAGAAATTGCCAATCATTTCACAATCAGGCATGGCGTTCCTGGCACCAGGCTTCCTCGACCCACTTCCTCGACCAGGAAAGGGAGAGGGCATTTTGGCCAGGCACCTCTGCTGCATTCTGTGCTCTTTCTGTGTTATTTCAAAATCAATTTCTTGCAAGAGAAATGCGGCTGGTGAAATCGCAAACATGGAGCTCAATTTAAAACATGGATAAGAAGTGATGGGGCTACATGCTGCCTAAGCTACCTACCCCTGACAATACAAATCCTAGCAGTGGCTGCTTGATGGTGCAAGGAACCCAATCCAGGCTGAGTCCTGCTGGGCAGCCAGAAGGGAGCTCAAGAGGGGTCGAGCTTTGCTCTCCTCTGGCCTCCCTGGGGAGCAGAGGTGCAGGCAGACTCACATGCAAAATTCGGGTTGCTTTGCAGCTTCTCCTCCACCGGCTTGGAGATACAAAAATATACTTACAAAAATGATGCACGGAACATGCAGTCGGCTGGCAAAGATGCTCCCTGGAACCAGGAATGTGATGCAAAGGCACAAACCCCAGCCCCCTCCCCAGTGCTCCCTCTTGAGCTGCCTGTGGCTTTCTGAGGGGCTGCAATAGTGGGAGAGAGGGGTCATGATTCTTCCACCACCGCCATCCAGCAACAGGGATTCCTGTGGTTTCCCTTCAAGCCTTGTGGGCTAATTTGGATTCCTGTTGCAACCGACGGTTGCACTTGTCCTGCCAAGGATGAGGCCACTTACCCTCAGAAAGCTCACAGCAGAGGGGTGGGTTAATCTGCATGATTCCAACTCCCACACCAGGCAATTGCATGAATCAGGTGTGTCCAGGGCAGGTGATTGCTGCTCCTGGGGAGGGAGAAGGGGCCAAGCTCGCCATGGGGGCGGGAGAAGCAGGTGGCAGAGCACAGCATGTTGAGGGTCTTTCCTGACACTCCTTGGCCTACATTGGGCAAGGTGGCTTCTTGGCCCCATAGCTGCCCAGGTGTCTGAAGTCTCCCTACACTGAGCTGTCTGCTCAGCAGAAAATGAGGCAGCCAAGAGGTCCATTACATCGCTAATTCGATGGCCCGGGGCTGATCTGACCTGTTGCCTTTTGGCCGTGAAGGCTGCTAGACACCTCCCCAAAACTAAATTGTGTTGGGCTGAATTCATCCTCCTACACACACACACACCTGGGGTCAGGGTGTGTGTGTGTGCGCCTGGCAGACCAGCTGGCCACGCGTGTCTGTGCCTTGTCAGTCATGCTGCCCCCTCTCTGTCCACAGATCGCTCCCTTGAGAACATGGCGGGGCGGCCACGGCTCGACTCGCTCAGCTCCGTGGAGGAAGACGACTACGACACGCTGGCCGACATCGACTCGGACAAGAACGTCATCCGCACCAAGGTGCCTTGCGCTCGGGAGCAGGAAGGCATGGGAGCCCAGAGTCTCCCTCTGCCATTGCCAGCCAGTTCTGTCTGCCTGCCAGTGCTGTTCACCTGCCCTGTGTGTTGAGGGCTGGAAGTGATGCTTCCCTCACTTGCCATTTAGAACAAGCCAGAGAGCCACAGGCTGTGGCAAGGGAGGGAGGAGACACAGGAGAAAGTAGGGCTGAGTGAGCAGCACGTGGTCTGGCTTGCTTGCTTGAGACACCAAGAACGATCTGCAGATTTCTAAGGCTTTCTTGGGCTTTACCTGCAAGTTGGGTTGGACTGGGGGGAAAGGGATCAGACGAGATGAGCGGGGGTAAAAGCAGTCTCAGGGTTTGGAAATGCCGACCTTCCTTGTAGCCTCACAGGTTACCTTTCTATGGGGGGAGGAAGTGGCCGTTCCCAAGGAGACCCACAGTTCACCCTGCTTCTTGCATCTTCTCATTGCAGCAATACCTGTATGTGGCGGATCTGGCCCGCAAGGACAAGCGGGTGCTGCGGAAGAAATACCAGATTTACTTCTGGTGAGAGAGGAGAAGGATATGGGGGGGGGCTGTGCCCCACCTGTACTGGGGGCTAGTTCTCCCTTCTATCCATCAGTTCTGGGTAAAAGGGGCAGCCTGGCGTGGTGGCTGAGTGGACCTGCATGGCCCCCAGTGGGTCAACAGAGAGCCCACCTATTGCTTCATGGTGGAAATAAATTGGGGGTGTGGGACGCACATATGTCCCCTTACCTCTGATGTCTCCTGCAGGAACATAGCCACCATCGCCGTCTTCTACGCTCTGCCCGTCATTCAGCTGGTCATTACCTATCAGACCGTAAGTGGGTTTCTTTCCTGAGCTTCTTTCCATGTGCTGTTGATAGCCACCTGGCCACCTAGGTGCTATGTTGTCCCCGAAAGCCTGGTCTACCCATTTGCCCTCGTCTGGGCTGGAAAGGTTGGCTTTTGCCCCAGCCCAGCTCTGAGCACCTAGTGCCTTCTCTGTGCCGGTGTGAGCCGGTTTCCCCGGATCTGAGCTCTGCTAAAAGGGGCGGTGGACTGCCAAGCCAGCCCTCACAGTTGGGTCCTCTGCAGTGCTTACCTCCCCTTTCTCGTTGGCAGGTGGTGAACGTCACCGGAAACCAAGACATTTGCTACTATAACTTCCTGTGCGCCCACCCGCTGGGCAATCTCAGGTAGGAGCAAGGGTCATGCAGCATCCATCGTTCTGCCCGGACACTGAGGGCCAGTGCCGAGGGCCTTCTGGCGGTTCCCTCGCTGCGAGAAGCCAAGTTGCATGGAACCAGGCAGAGGGCCTTCTCAGTGGTGGCACCGGCCCTGTGGAATGCCCTCCCTCGAGATGTCAAAGAGAACAACAACTACCAGACTTTTAGAAGACATCTGAAGGCAGCCCTGTTTAGGGAAGCTTTTAATGTTTAACAGACCATTGTATTTTAATACTCTGTTGGAAGCCGCCCAGAGTGGCTGGGGAAACCCAGCCAGATGGCCGGGGTATAAATAATAAGTTGTTGTTGTTGTTGTTGTTGTTGTTGTTGTCCTCCTCTTCCCTGGGTCAGGGACTCCAGCAGAGCCTCTCTGGCTTTTGCCCACTGTGCCTTGATGCAGACCTTCCTTGCTTTCCCCTCCCCAGCGCCTTCAACAACATCCTCAGCAACATGGGCTACATCCTGCTGGGGCTGCTCTTCCTGCTCATCATCCTGCAGCGCGAGATCAACTACAACCGGGCACTGATGCGCAACGACCTGCAAGCTGTGGTGAGTCACGATGGGAGGATCCGGAGGGTGGTTTCAGCCCCCCGGAGCCTCGACACCAGGCGCTGCACCCCCATTTGCCTCTCCTGCCCTGGGACGCCTTTTTCTTCCTATCCCAGATCCCTAGTCTTAGAGGTATATTCAAGAGGCGGGTGGCGCTGTGGTTTAAACCACAGAGCCTAGGACTTGCCAATCAGAAGATCGACGGTTCTAATCCCCGCGATGGGGTGAGCTCCCGTTGCTCGGTCCCTGCTCCTGCCAACCCAGCAGTTCGAAAGCACGTCAAAGTTCAAGTAGACAAATAGGTACCGCTCCGGCAGGAAAGTAAATGGCGTTTCTGTGCGCTGCTCTGGTTCGCCAGAAGCGGCTTAGTCATGCTGGCCACATGACCCGGAAGCTGTACGCCGGCTCCCTCGGCCAATAAAGCAAGATGAGCGCCGCAACCCCAGAGTCGGCCACGACTGGACCTAATGGTCAGGGGTCCCTTTACCTTTTTATGTTCAATGCAGAGTTAAGAACAACGGCAAAGGGTGAAACTGGCAGAATCAACATTCACAGCAGCATTTTATTTATTTGCTAGGAGCTGTCATCCCAGCCCACATTGCTTACCTTCCTCAGCCCCCAATCGTGTTGCCAACCATCCTTGGCTGTGCTTGTATATTCATTCTCCAGCGTGCTGACAGACAAGTGCAAATATAATACAGGGAGATAATAAATGTATTGGCTCCTGTTCGAAATCCAGCATTTCCCCACCAACTTAAAATCCTATAGAAATATAAACAGTGTAGTGCAGGTCAAAGCAAAATATTATGTCTGTCTTTTCATAGCCTCACCTGCAGTTATATAAACCATTTTATGTGTCAATATGAATGGAAGTTGTTAATGTTGCAGTTGTTGTATAAGGGATTGTTAAATTTTGACCTGAGTGTAATTGAAATTATTAAGATTTTGGTACACAGAAATAAAGGAAATAATCAAACCATCTGTTCTAGCACGCGGGGAGCCACCTAAATTATATAGTTTGGTATCTGCATGATTGACATTAGTAATTGTATTATAATGAGGCTGAAACTGGATTGTAATTGAAAACTAATAAAAATTATTATCAAAAAATAAAAATTGAGGGTCACAGCAGCTGTAAAAATACACCAGATCAATGAATCATAGCTAGCCGTACCAGAAAGGTGTTCTTTATGAACTTTAGGCTACACTGACCAATGTTGTGGGAATACGGCTCCCATCAACCCCAGACAGCATGGTCATATGATACTGGGGCTGATGGGAGTTGTAGTCCAACAGCATCTGGAACAGATTGGTGAAGGCTGGTAGACTCTCTCCATCTCTCCAGGCACACAAACACGCAAAAACTTGAGGGAACTACGTTCTCTTCCTTTCTCCCTGGCTTGCTGTAGTTGTGCAGAGAGTTCTGCTCTACTCGCCACCACTTCCCAGCCCCTTTTTCTCTCCGGTAGACGGGGGCACGGTCGACCATGACCCAGGGAGACCATGGGAACAGAAAGGGATGCAGCTGAATGCCAGCTTGCAGGTGGGCGATGCAAAGCAGAACCCACTGCCCAGCTTCTCTCTGAAATAGGAGCACTCTCTGCTCCCTTCTCTTTTCCTAGGAATGTGGCATCCCTAAGCACTTTGGCCTCTTCTACGCCATGGGCACTGCCCTCATGATGGAGGGGCTGCTCAGCGCCTGCTACCACGTCTGCCCCAACTACACGAACTTCCAGTTTGGTGAGTGTCGCCTGGGAGGTGGGGCAGGACCGGAGGGGAGGGGCTGCCTGCACCCGGCAGATCAGGCACCCCCAACCTGGTGCCCTCCATCCTGCTTCCAACTGCAACTCATAGCAGGCCCAGCCAGCATGGCCACGGCAGCTGGAGGGCACCAGGTTGGGAAAGGCTGGGCTTCACAGTCCAGGGGCCATGGAGAATTTACCAGAGGAGCCCTGCAGAAGAACGTGCAACAGGTGCCCTGCCTTGTACGTCTGGAGAAAATGTGTACAAATAATGATGTTAGGGGCAGCCCCTCTGCCCATGTGCCAAGTGCACTTTGCTTGCTCCTGAATAGCCACCTGCTGCATGAAATTTTATGATTATTTAGTTAAATACGTTAAGTTAAATTAATTGGAAGAAGCTTCCAGTTACCAGATAGGCTGAAGATTTAAACATGTAATGTGAAGAATTACCGTATTTTTCGCTTTATAGGACACAATTTTCCCCCTCCAAAAATTAAGGGGAAATATGTGTGCGTCCTATGGAGCGAATGCAGGCTCCTTGGCTTCAGCGATAGCAACGCAAAGCCTCCGAGGCAGCGCTCCCTCCACACTCCAGAGGCTTCGTGTTGCTTTCGCTGAAGCCTGGAGAGCGAGAGGGGTCAGTGCGCTCCAACCCCTCTCGCTCTCCAGGCTTCAGGGATGGCCACCTGAAGCCTTCGGAGCACAGCGCGAGTTCCCACTGCACTCCGCAGGGTTCAGGTTCCTTTTGCTGAAGCCGGGAGAGCAAGACTCTCCTGGCTTCAGCAGAGAGGAAGAGCTGCGCAGCGCCCCTTCAGCCAAGCAGGAGGAGAAATGGAATGCACTCCGTTTCTCCTGCCGCTTTGCTGAAGGGGTGCTGAGCAGAGAGGGGGAGATTTTTTTCTTCTTGTTCTCCCCCTGTAAAACAAGGTGCGTCCTATGGTCAGGTGTGTCCTATAGAGCGAAAAATACGGTAATATGTTTAATGCTGAATGGATAAGACAGAAATATGTTAAGTGACTAGGTTAATTATATAAGGATTTTGATTTGGAAAACCGTTAAAACGATATACATTGAAATTCAACTAGGGGGATACGAGGAAGTCACTCAACAATGTTATTAAGATTAGTTTTAATAAGGTAATGATTTATGTTTGTTTGTTTGTTTATTTGTTTGTGTGTTTATAAGTTGTGAAAATCAATTAAAAAATTTGGAAAAAAATAATGAATAGCCACTTGCTGCTGGTCTCTTGTTTGCAGATACCTCTTTCATGTACATGATCGCCGGCCTCTGCATGCTGAAGCTGTACCAGAAGCGGCACCCAGATATCAATGCCAGCGCTTACAGCGCCTATGCCTGCCTGGCCATTGTCATCTTCTTCTCGGTCGTCGGGGTGGTGAGTGGCGATGGGAAGCCTCCGGAGCTGCATGCGGGAAGGAGGGAGGCAGCCCTGAGCTGGGACAGTGGCCTTCACAACCCCTGGGGGCTGGTGTCCTGTTGGCCTGCATGGGTCTTATCATTCTTCCTTTTCGTTTTTGCAAACGCCGTTGTCCCTCTCCGGTGTCCCTCAAATTCCTCAGTGGCCTTTATGTATTGGCCAAATGTTTCAGATTTGTTTTAAAAACAAAATCACAGCAGTGATCCAGGAAAGGAAAGCCTTTCCCGCGATTATTACGCTTGAGGAGTACAAATCGGGGGATTTGGCGCTGTGGGTTAAACCACAAAAGGTCGCGGTTCGAATCCCTGTGACGGGGTGAGCTCCCATTGCTCAGTCCCTGCTCCTGCCAACCTAGCAGTTCGAAAGCACGTCAACGTGCAAGTAGATAAATAGGTACCACTCCGGCGGGAAGGTAAACGGCGTTTCCGTGCGCTGCTCTGGTTCTCCAGAAGTGGCTTAGTCATGCTGGCCACATGACCTGGAAGCTGTACACCGGCTCCCTCGGCCAATAAAGCGAGATGAGCGCTGCAACCCCAGAGTCGGCCACGACTGGACCTAATGGTCAGGGGTCCCTTTACCTTTACCTTATCCTTCAGGAAAGGACGTTGCAGAAACCGCTTTCTGCTCCTCTTACACCCCAATTTCCTCTTAGAATAGTGGGGAAACCCCGACATCCATTGAAAGGAGGGAGGAGGCAGAAAGGAGACTTCCTGCCTTGCCTTCTCAACCCACTCACTCCCCCAGCCTTGAATTCAGTATCATGGCCCCAGCAAATGGCGTGATGCGCCCCTTTCTCCCCTCTTTCCCAGGTCTTCGGCAAGGGCAACACGGCTTTCTGGATCGTCTTCTCCGTCATCCACATCCTCTCCACTCTGCTGCTGAGCACCCAGCTCTACTACATGGGCCGCTGGAAACTGGGTGAGTTCTGCCAGCCCTCCTTTTTTAATGATAATATATTTTTATTGAATTTTCTGTTGCACAATTTCAAACGAATATTTTACAAACTTTAAAAATATCCAGTGGCTTTCCTTCTTCTCTTTCCGTGGTTCATTTTACGTATCCTATATCCCTGCATATTTTAGTAAAAGGTAAAGGTAAAGGTACCCCTGCCCGTACGGGCCAGTCTTGCCAGACTCTAGGGTTGTGCGCTCATCTCACTCTATAGGCCGGGAGCCAGCGCTGTCCGCAGACACTTCCGGGTCATGTGGCCAGTGTGACAAGCTGCATCTGGCGAGCCAGCGCAGCACACGGAACGCCGTTTACCTTCCCGCTAGTAAGCGGTCCCTATTTATCTACTTGCACCCGGGGGTGCTTTCGAACTACTAGGTTGGCAGGCGCTGGGACCGAGCAACGGGAGCGCACCCCGCTGCGGGGATTCGAACTGCCGACCTTTCAATCGGCAAGTCCTAGGCGCTGAGGCTTTAACCCACAGCGCCACCCGCGTCCCATGCATATTTTAGTATAACCATTCAAATCAATTTTCCACTTTTACATCCATTAAGAATTCTTTACTGACTCTATTTAACTTATCTTAATGCTGCCAGCGTTTTCAGCTGTAGGCACTTCCTTTCCATATACAGTGGAACCTTGGGTGTACTCAATAAATGTTTTCCAATCTTATTTAAACGCATGTTCTTGTCTCTTATTCAATATGTTAAATCTGCAAGTTGTGTGTATTCTGTCAACTTAAGTTGCCAAGCCTCTTGAGTTGGGACCTCGCTCACTTTCCATTTTGGGGCTAACAAAACAACAGGCATAAGAAAGAATAAGAAATCAAGACAGCAAACTTTTTATAAAAGATTGGAAATGGTTTATTGAATATTTACAGATAAATTGCAAACAGATAAAAACACTGGCAGGATTAGTGTAATAACCTGCAGTTACATAAGAATATACCTGTATATTTAAAGTAGATAATTAAATGAGTAAATTAAATTAATTTGGATATGCAGAAGATATTAAAAAATAAATTTAAGGAACCGCAGAAAGAGAGGGAAGGAAGGCAAACTTTGAAATGTTAAAAAGATTGTAAAAGTAATGAAATGTATAAACTTGAAAAGTATAAATAAAAACTTAAAAACAAAAACGGGCATACATAAATAACCTTTTCTGACACCTGGGAATTTCATTCTGGGTTATCCCCAGAAAAAAGGACTCTGTTTTTTGAGGGAGGAGGGCGCATGAGAGAAATCTCATGGCTGATTATGTAAACATGTCCTCTGCTTGCTTCCCAGGAGTGGCCTCCTGCCCCCACCGTGTCAGCCCACAGGGCAGGGTGCATTCCTGGGTCCACGTAGCTTTAACATGTCTCTCTCTCTTTCCACAGACTCTGGGATCCCACGCAGGATCTTGCACGTGCTTTACACAGACTGCATCCGCCAGTGCAGCGGGCCTATGTATGTGGTGAGTAAGGCTGGATCTATACTGATAAAAAAACAACGCTATAAAATCTCTCGGTGCAAAATTCCATTGGCGACAGATCACTGCTCTACAGCACCACCTGGTGCCACATGTTTGTAGTGCAGTTGTAAAAATACAATTGACGCGTGTAGCTAAGTCCCCTAAGTGTGGCTGGCTCTCTCCTGGAAGGATTGCGGGGGCTGTATGAAAACTCGACCTCCCTCTCGCTGGGCTAGGGCCCCCGCGGGTGCTTTGCTGGCCTCTGTTGCAGACGCTAGTCCCCATTGCCTCCCTCTCTTTTCCTCCACAGGATCGAATGGTGCTGCTTGTGATGGGCAACGTCATCAACTGGTCTCTGTAAGTCAGGGTTGGTGGGCAGGGCAGGAGCCAACCTGGGCAGAGAGGATTACCAGCCAGTCAAGGGGCAGGAGGGGGGCGTGTATTTATATCAGATTAGGCAAGAGTCACAGGGCCTTCTCTTTGGTGATGCTGTGGGAGATGGGCTCCCTCTGCCCTTTCTAAAGGGAGGTTAGCAAATACCTTTTTAAAAAAAAAGAAAAAAAGATTCAGCTCTTAATAAAAAGATTTTAACACGTGGCCTGCTGCCGTTATGGGATTTGTGTTTTCCTTTCTTCAGGCTGCTCCTAGTCTCAGAATGTTTTTTTTTTTTTAAGATATTTATTAAAGTTTTCAAAATGTTACAAAAAGAAAAAAGAAAAAGAAAAAATACAAAGTAAAAACAGTTAAAAACAATTCAATCTTTCCATATCTTATCTTTCATTTGCTTGTTCCCCAGACCTCCTCACACCTCCCTTTTTTGTATTCCAGTTCAATTAGTTGGTTCAGCAAATCCTTTCCCTCTTTGTTTTTATCCTAATCTTTAATCTTAATATATTATAACTTTAGATTATCACCTGTTAACAATCCATTTTTGCACATTCCTTTATAACATTACTGCTAAAAACCACTTAACGTCAATCCAACATCATTCTAACATTCATTAATTTTGCAGTATTTCTCTAGATAGTCTTTAAATTTCTTCCAATCTTCTTCCACCGACTCTTCTCCCTGGTCTCGGATTCTGCCGTCCTAGTCTCTGAATGTTTCGTGTGAACAGCTCCTGCCTTATTCAGGTTTTAGGTCTGCTGTTTTCATTGTGCGTGTGGGAGTTTTAAATTGAATTTGCACTTACACATGGTGGGACAGAAAGGCAGAACAGCAACAAGAGCGACACATTATCATAACAACAATGGCAGGAGTGGTTCCTCTCAGGCTGGCAGAGGCCTACCCCCCCCCCCGTGGCCTTGAAGGGCCCCCAGGTGTAGTCCTTGGGGAGTCACCCTCCCGCTTGACAACCTCCTTTTCCCCGCAGGGCTGCTTACGGCCTCATCATGCGGCCCAACGACTTTGCCTCCTACCTTCTGGCCATTGGCATCTGCAACCTCCTCCTCTACTTCGCCTTTTACATTATCATGAAGGTGCTGCACGTAACCCGACTTGGCTCTTGGGGGCGGCCGGGGCCAGCTTCTCTCTGGGCGGAATATAAATTGCATAAATAATAATATCGAGGGGGTGGGGGTTCCCATTCAGAGGCGCCAGTTCGCAAGGGCAATTGTGGGTGGAGTTGCGTGCATGATGAAAGGATGCCAGGACGTACCCAGTACCAGTCCCCAGCGCGGGGCTGCTTCCACCTTCCTTCCCCTCCGTGGCAGGAGGAGGAGCCGCCGGCCACTGAAACTGTGCCACGCTCAAACTCCTTTGCCCCCTGATTTTTTTTGGACTTTGGGGGTCCCCCCAAAATTATTAAAGGTAAAGGTAAAGGGACCCCTGACCATCAGGTCCAGTCATGGCCGACTCTGAGGTTGCGGCGCTCATCTCGCTTTATTGGCCGAGGGAGCCGGCGTACAGCTTCCGGGTCATGTGGCCAGCATGACTAAGCTGCTTCTGGCGAACCAGAGCAGCGCATTAAAAAGGTAAAGGGACCCCTGACCATTAGGTCCAGTCGTGGCTGACTCTGGGGTTGCGGCGCTCATCTCGCTTTATTGGCCAAGGGAGCCGGGTACAGCTTCCGGGTCATGTGGCCAGCATGACTAAGCTGCTTCTGGCGAACCAGAGCAGCGCACGGAAACACCGTTTACCTTCCCGCCAGAGCGGTACCTATTTATCTACTTGCACTTTGACGTGCTTTCGAACTGATAGGTTGGCAGGAGCTGGGACCGAACAACGGGAGCTCACCCCGTCGTGGAGATTTGAACCGCCGGCCTTCTGATCGGCAAGTCCTAGGCTCTGTGGTTTAACCCACAGCGCCACCCGCATCCCCTAAAAAATTTTAAAAAATAATTATTAAAAAAATAATTATTGTATGTGGGCTAAAAGGATTTGACCTGCATGAGTTGGCGCCCCTGCTCCCATTTATTATGGTGGAGTAACTTCATGCTAGATTGGAGCCCCTCTGTGCTCCTTTTGTCTGTGAATTCAGTACATCCGCAATAGCAACCAAGAAAGTTGGGATTTCCACCTCCCTCCCTCCCTCCCTCCCTCCCTCCCTCCACTTTGTTTCTGATCAGCTTTCCTTGCCCTGCAGCTCCGGAGTGGGGAACGCCTCAAGCTGATCCCCCTGCTCTGCATCGTTTGCACTTCCGTCGTCTGGGGCTTTGCCCTCTACTTCTTCTTCCAGGGCCTGAGCACCTGGCAGGTGAGCCATTTCCCCACCCTCCATATCCTCAGTTCCCGCACAGGCTTGTCCCGAACCGCCCACGTCAGAGCAGACCTCTGAGTAGCAAGTTGAAGGAGCTGCACTTATACAGTGGTACCTCGGGTTACAGACGCTTCAGGTTACAGACTCCGCTAACCCAGAAATAGTACCTCGGGTTAAGAACTTTGCTTCAGGATGAGAACAGAAATCAGGCTCCAGCGGCGCAGCAGCAGCAGGAGGCCCCATTAGCTAAAGTGGGTGCTTCAGGTTAAGAACAGTTTCAGGTTAAGAATGGAATTAAGTTCTTAAGCCGAGGTACCACTGTAAAAGGCTTTAGAAAAGCTCTCATGCAGAAGATCCAGCCCTGCCCTGCATTGCTGTTTGGTTAGGGCAGCCTTAGCCTTAACCGTGGCTCCCTCCCTACCTTTTGGGACTACGACTCCCATCAGCCCCAGGCAGCGGCCTGGCAGTTGCATCCCCAGACCTCTGGAGGGCGCCAGTTAGGGGCAGACTGGGTTAGAGCTTGTTGGGTGGGGGACAGCTGAATCCAGCGCAGGCTGCGCAGACCGCCTGCCTCCTGCCAAGCATCACAGACTGCCTTGTCGCTGACCCTCCGCAGAAAACGCCGGCCGAGTCCCGCGAGCATAACCGGGACTGCATCCTTCTCGACTTCTTTGACGACCATGACGTCTGGCACTTCCTCTCGTCCATTGCCATGTTTGGCTCCTTCCTGGTAGGTGGCGTGGGCCCAGCTGGCCTGGCAAGGGGCGGGAAATAGCAGCATCCAAACGGCGGTCCCCCGAAAGTGCCAGCAAATACTGGCGAGCAGGGAAGAATCTGGAGGGAGGTTCGCCAAGGCGGTGCGGGCCGGGGCGAAAGCAGCACCCTGCACCCACGTACTCCCCCTTGCACGACAGCACAAAGCTACCTTCATTTCTGGGGAAGGAGAGGGTGGGCTTTTAAACCACCACCCACCTCCCCAACCTGACCCTCCCTCCCTTCCTCTTGTTGTAGGTATTACTGACTCTGGATGATGACCTCGATTGTGTCCAGCGTGACAAGATCTATGTCTTCTAGAGGCCAGGATTCCCCAGCAAGGGGGGAACGAGGTCTTTCCTGCCTGATGGCTTGGGACAGGCCTTGCAGAGGCGTCTGGCTGGAGCCAGGATTTGCAACAGGCCTCTCTACCCGTTCAAATGCATCGTGAAGATGTCACCCTTGGCAGAGCCTGCGGGAGCAACCTAGGCTGACGGTGGGGGGCACACCCTCTTTCAGTATTTGAGCCTTCACGGTGCTGGGTGCCCCGGGCAACTTTGGGCAGCTTTGAATGTTGCCTGTCTTGCATTTCCAAGAGCTCTGGATGCCAGGCAGGCTCCGGCCGGGTCGCTTGGTCCTGCTGCTGCGCCAGGTTTTCAAGAGAATCGGTACCTTGTTGGCTGCCAGCCTCTGAGGGTTGGCCTATGTGCCCACCGACTCCCCTGGGCATGGCCTGGGTCAATAGGGAAAGGATAGGTTTCCCCCCTGCCGCTGCCTCCTCCTCCTCCTCCTTAAAGGGGTGGGGGCTTGTTGTTAGAGGCCAAACTGGGGTCTTGCACTTCCAGCACGGGGCTCGGGAGAGGGCCTGGCAGCAGCTCCTAGGTAAGGGGGCTTGCAGGAGCCTGCCTTGGGGGCCCTCGCCCTGGAAGCTCTGCATCCGCCCATTGCCTCACGCACATTTCTGCCAACCCTGAGTTAAGCACATCTTCGCCCTCTGCAGCTGAGGCCACGTTGCCTCCTATTTCTGGACAAAGACTTCTGACCTCCATGACGCTGCCACAACCGGTGTGATCTTCCTTCCAAGCGTGGCCTTTCTGAGGGGCGGGTGGTGCTCAGTGGGGCCCCTCTTGCCAACTAGATGCCACTGCCCTTGCTCTGGGCCACTGCCATGCCCAGGAGGAAGGGGGCGCCGTTTTCTCTCTGTTCTTAAAGCACACACGGCATTGGGGAGGGGGCTCCCTTCAGTGCCTAACTAAATTGGGGTGGCAGGTTGGGCTCTGTCTCCTTGTCTCCCCTTCCGCCTGCCACTGGGTGGGCCTTGGCAGCTGCGTCGCCCCCTGACGGTTTACACTGCACTGCCTGAAGATGTTTGCTCCTTTTTACTCTTGTTTTCTGCTCAGACCTAGAATCCGATCCAGGAGGCCTCTCTCCTCTCATTGTTCCTTACAAGCTGCCCAAGGTAGCCGTACGAATAACAGTTATGGGTGGCCGCTCCGGGCTGCAAGCCAAAGGGCTCCTTCAGTGGCTGGGGGGAGGCCCCCACCCACTGCACTACTGGGGGAAGAGCCCTTTCCCCCCCACAAAAAAAAATAACAATGAGAAGGGCCTCCTACATTCGTCCATTCCTGGTTATTGATTGTGAGTTTGTTTGTTTTTTAACCATTATTCGTGTAAGACGTTGCAGAACAAAATGACCGTTTTCATTTCTTACGGATTCTGCTGCCAAATGCAAAGAAATAAACAAAAGCCTTGCTTTGCTCCTTTGTGTAGTTCTTCCTCCTCTGGGGACGGGCAATGGTGCCTGCCTTTAGAGGGGTGCGGGTACTGCTACTCCTCTTCAGCCTCCCCCTCAAAAATCCCTTTTGGCTAATCTCTTAGTGGCAACAAGTGAGGCAGCTCAGTTCCCAGGCTCTCCCTGGCCGCCCAGCTAACATCCCTCTTCAGGGGGAAAGGTTCTCCTCTTCACTGAGCAGGGAATCCTTTCCTTCAGGGATTTAGGGCACCGTACACTCTTTCAGCCCAGCTCATAGGTGCTTGTGACAGTCGCCCTGGGGGTTGGGAAAGCAGGAGATGTGAGCCTTTTGGGTGGAAAACAGTGGAAAATGAAGGTGTTTGAGCAATTGGGCACAAAAGAACTCTGGTGCCACGTAGCCTCACTAAAACAATGTGAATTGGGTGCCATTCTTTGATTTCCTTTCACAGGGCTTTCAGTTGGACTAAGGTGCACTGGAATCTGCATCAAGAGGGTGCTTCTGGGCAGCTTTTAATATGAAGCAAAATAAGAGCCAATCTGTGTGCGGATGAGTGCGTTCATTGGTGCCACGCACACCATTTGCAATTTGCATTTTTAAAAGATTTGCACATTAAATGCAAAGTCCTGTTGAATGGCCTTCGTCGTGTTGGCCTCGACTGAGTGTTCCCCTTTCCTGCTCCAGGTGCAGACCCCTGACCTCCCCCCTCCCAAAGAGGGGGCACAGCCAAGTGGGACAACTTGAAATGTCTAGCCAGGATTGCCTGCTTGCCATACCTCATTCAATCCTGGGGGTAAGGGTGGGGAAAGTGAAAGGAAACTCCAGAAAGTTGGAGGTTTGCTTTATTAGGTGGGCATCAAAATCTCTCTTTTGTCTTGAGAATTTTTCATGCATGGCATTCAGAAAAGTTACAGACAGCTTCTCTGCCTGCAGCCTTCCTCCCTTGCTTCCCCCTTCCCCCTAGGCCTTCTGCCCCTTTTAAAGTGTTTCCCCAACCCCCACTGCAAAGACCCGGGCAAAATGCTGTGTGTAGTAGCCAGGAACCCCTCTGCGCAGTCAATCTAGGCTGCACCAACTGGATCCCTGGGGGCTTCCTTGAGCCTCTGCCCCCCATGCGCTTCAGCCTTCCTGTGCCACCAATGCCAGGAGGCCCCTGACAGCCCCCACCAGTTCGCTGAGCTCCTCCTCTTTGTCCAGCCCATGCTCCCCTCCTTTGAACAGCGTGATGTGGACATTGGCACTCTGCAGCCGCTCCGCCACCTCCAGCGCTCGCTGCCAGGGCACGGTCTTGTCCCTCAAGCCGTGCAGCAGCCGGACAGGGCAGGACACGCCGATGGATGGGCGCTCCAGCAGGCTGTGTTGCTCTGCCTCCTCAAAGAAGCCCCATTGCATGAGCAGGGGCTCCTTGCCGGCCCTAGGGAAGACATGGAAGCCATTCTGCTGGGCTTGGCTCCTCACCTGGGCAAGAGGGCAGAAAGGGCACAGTCAAAACAGGGTGGAGCAGGGGCCACCGTGGCCTCACCCACCCCAGGGCTGAACCTAGCCCCAGTCTGGATGGCAGCAGAGCCCCAGATTTGCCACGTGGTCCTTCCATGAGAAGCATGCCCTTTGGGAGGGGGCAGATACCAGGCACCCCAGTTCCCACCCCTTTGCTGTTTATTTACCATATTTACTTGAATGTAAAGTGCACCTTTTTTTGCCAAACCACACTGTGGAAATTAAGGGTGCGCATTAGATTCGATGGCGCATTAGATTGGCATCAATATGGTATCGGCCAAATGTCTATCCCTCCCTTCCTCCCAAATGATCCCAGGGTGGCCCTCTCTTTTGCTAAGAGCTGCTGCTCACCTCTGCGGGGAGCCCCCTGGCATGGGCGATGAAGGCATCGACGCCAACCCCTGTGGCAACTAGCCCAGCAACCCTACCTGGGCGCTCCAGGGCCACCAACAGCATCAGCCAGCCCCCCATGCTGGCCCCCACCAGGATCTGGAAGAAGAGGAAGAGGTGTTTGCCCTCTGCCGCTATCTGGGATGGCAACCAGCACCTTCTCTGGGCAACTCTGCGCTGTCCTTCAAAAGCAGCTGGTGTTTGTGCCCATCTGTCTGGGCATCAGCCAGGAGGTTCCAAGAGCCCATCTGGTCTGACTTCCTGCCCTAAAGGCAGGCCCCCGATCCACGGCTCAGCAGGCCCCTGAAGAGCAGAAAGGCCAGGCGAGCTGGAGCGGCAGTATGGGGCAATGGGTGCGAGGTTAGGTCATCCATATTGCTGGCACTAAGGGCAGTGAGGTGGGTGTCCGTGCCAGCCAGGGTTGGCTTAGTGAATCGCAGGGATGCTTACCTGGGGGCCGCTGGTGAGCTCGTCGAACACACTCAAGGTGTCTTCCTTCCAGTCCCCCAGGCGGCTCTCTTCAAAGCAGCCATCTGACTCCCCACATCCCCGGTAGTCAAAGCTGGGGTGAGAGGAGACATTTTGAAGACCCTTCCCCCAAAGGGGCACACACCTAGGGCTGCCCCTCCCATTAGGCAGAGTTGAGGCAACAAGTGGTGGCTTTGTGGAGGACACCTGTCTGTGTGCCTGCCATCCTTTGGCCCAGGAGAGGACACTGTCCTGTCACCAGCGTGGAAGTGAAATTCAGCCGTCATCTTCAACGCATGGGAGGCCATCTTTGCCTCAGGCCACAAAACGGCCCTAAGTCCACCCCAGCAACCTCTGGAGAGTCCAAACAGCTTCTTGCTTCCCACCTGACGAATGCCCGTCCTGTCTCCCGGCAGAACTGCTCCATCCTCTGACACTTGGGGTTGGCTCTGGTGCTGCGGAAGCCCAGCAAAAAGACGACACCGGGGCTGCAGCCTGGTAGGCGGTGGTAGGCCAGGCGGGGCAGACCTTGGCGCGACAGAAACGATGGTGCCATGTTGGCAGAGCTGTAGGCAAAAACAGAGGGGGTGAGTTCCTAGATTTTTGTTAGGATCACTTTTATTGGGTTGGTATATTACAAAACAATACAAAAAAACATGAATGCAAAATCCAGCCGTCCCTCCACCCTCCGCAAGAGATGATGTCTGCATCCATATCTGAAGTGTATTCAAGTCCACATCATATATCCAGCTTGCAAAGGTCCTCAAAGGATGACGTCAGGCAAAGATGTTTACATGAAGTTCATTAAAGTCATTTTTCACTCTATGCATGTTGAAGCTGTGCCATTCTGCTGTGAATAAGTCCTTTTGCCTTAGACTTTGTGCCACTTGAAGTTTATTGGTAAGTTTCTGAAGTGCCAGTTTCCAGACCATATTATACCAGTTCGCCATTGGTAAATTGGTATAATATGGCCTTCCATATTTATACAGTGGTACCTCTGGTTAAGAACTTAATTTGTTCCGGAGGTCCGTTCTTAACCTGAAACTGTTCTTAACCTGAGGTACCACTTTTGCTAATGGGGCCTCCCGCTGCCGCCACACGATTTCTGTTCTTATCCTGAGGTAAAGTTCTTAAACCAAGGTGCCACTGTATACCAATATATACCTATACTCCTTCCATATGCAGTGGTACCTCGGGTTACAGACACTTCAGGTTACAGATGCTTCAGATTACAGGCTCCACTAACCCAGAAATAGTACCTTGGGTTAAGAACTTTGCTTCAGGATGAGAACAGAAATCACACGACGGCGCAGCAGCAGCAGGAGGCCCCATTAGCTAAAGTGGTACCTCAGGTTAAGAACAGTTTCATGTTAAGAACGGATCTCCATAACGAATTAAGTTCTTAACCTGAGGTACCACTGTATTTCCAATACCTAGTTATAATAAGTCTTGCTGCAACTAATAGATACTCAACCATTGGCTTAACGTGCATATTTGCATTTTAAAAAGATTTAACAAAGCCAATTCCAGGCATTGAACCTAGATCCTATGAGATATTTATACAAGAGTGCGTCTGAGCAAGGACAGAGGGCCTTTCCCTCCAAGCAAAGTGACCACAGTCCACCTCCATCCATGTGTCCTGATTTCATGTCCTGCTTTAGCCCCAGCTGCTCTTGGCATGAGAATTCCACACTGGGCAATTCCACCAAGGGACAATCACTGCTTGTGGCACTTCTCTCCTGCTAATCCTCCTGTGGCACCTCAGAGCCAAGTCCTGCAGGTCTCTGCAAGCTGCTCTTCTTCTGGAGGGCAGAGGCTCGGAAAGGGTCTGGCTAAACAGAAGATTGCAGCATCCTGGTTGCACCTGGGACTCAGCTACATTAGTCAGGAAAAGAACAGAGTTTTGAATGCATTATAAACATGCAACACCACACGGCGCTGTAGAGCAGAAAACTTTTCTATGCGATTTTACATAGCGTTTTCTTTTCAACAATTTAATTTCTGACATATTTATAGCGTGTTTTTCCCCATGTGTAGATCCACTCCAGCAAGGCCAGGAAGACTTTGAGGCAGGTGCTGTCAGGGATTGTTTCCCTGCCCATCTGCTCCTTCAGTAGATTTCTGCAGCACCAAGAGAGACATCCTTCTCTTCTGCTGCTGCTACAAGCAGTGTAGTTAGTGGGTGAAGGTGTAAGTCCTGGGTTCAAATGCCACCAGGGCCAGAGAGAGACCCATTGTGTGGCATTAGGCTCTTGCTCGGTCTTCCTTTTAGTCTCAGTTGGCCTTCTGAGCAATGGGTGCACTAAAATGATACATACATTTGCCTCGGCTGTCGCTTCATTCACCCGCAGAGATACACATGGACCTTCACCCGATACTTGCAGGTAGACTTTGACTCTATTTGCTAGATCACTCTATGCCTGTAGCAGCCAGCCAGCCAGGCCCTCCCTCTTCCCAGCCCTAGGGCTCAGTGACAGCCTTCCTTCCCTTGGACTCTCTCCCATTTTTCTCTGGCCCTTCTCCCCAAAGTCGTCACAGGGTCACAGGGAGAGATCCAGTCCCTCTTCCTCCTCCACGCTGAAGGCTGCAGATTGGCTATTCCCCCTCCCCTCCAATTTCCACAGCCCCTGCTTGGGTCCTGTAGGGGCTGTGAAGTCCTGGCACCCACCTTTTCAGCTGTGATGCAGGCCCTGGGAAAGCCGCTGAGCTGTTGCCCTCTGTGCAGAGTCTGTGACAAACAAGCAGCCTCGAACAGAGGAATCAAACACTGGCTATTTGCTAACTCAGCAAGTTGGAGACTCATTACCGAAGGAGGGGAAACCCCAAGCCTGGGAGCCACTGGAGGAGCGGCAGGACAGAGACGGAAGCACCAAGGGGTTAATTTCTTATGAGAGGTATGCAGAGCTAGTGCTTTTCAAGAAATCCAGTTCTGCAATGGTGAGGGAAGCCACGCTGTGCATGCTCAGAGGCCCCTCTTTGTTTCACATGTTCCAAATCACACAGGAGTGCTTTCTACCTGGAACCTCAAACAGCCAGTAGGCGGAGATTTGTAATTTCCCACTGCGATTTGGCTTATGATGCCAGCATGGTTAAACCCAGCCTTTTACTCCTTGGTGCATTTGTTATGTACTGAAGTTCTCACCCTGGGCAAGCAGGGGGAATACTGTAGATAGTTATGCAAATAAGGGATCGAAAGTGACGTTCAGTGATTGGATAGTTTTAGAAAATTGTTACAGTTACGTTGTACTGGAGCTCTATATAAGCAGGCTGACTGAACCCTTCAGTTCAGTTCTGTTCTGGCCTGTGAATAAACAAGAGCTGTTTGAAGAATCGCTGTATCATCTGATATGTTCACCCACAACTTAACAGCATTGGCCCTTACAAACAAGCAGGGGCTCCTTTTTACGATACCATTCTGAATTAAAACAAGGTCCAAAGGCAGCTCATAAATTAGCATATTTTTATTTGTGAGAGCTGAGGGTTAAATCTGAACATAGAACTGGCCACAGCACCAGATTTTCTGCCTTGTAAAAGATCAGGACATCCATTAGATGTTGCTGTTACTCCATCAGCGGGTGGGACAGGGCGAGCCAGGGATGGAAGTATTGTTGCCTTGAAAGGAGGGTGTGTGTGACTGGCTCTTTATGGTTGTGTTTTAAATTTTATTATTACTTTCAGAATTTCTATCCTTTCCTTCCTCCCCAAGGAGTGCAGGGGAGCAAACAGATACACAGTTTGAAAGCGAAAACAAAGTATAAAACCATTAAAAGCAATTACAGTTAAAAACATATCAAAGCAATTATGCTTTAAAACATTATTCCACCCAGTGATTGTGGGCTTTCCAGAAGTCAATACAGATTTATGCTTTTCAAATTACTCCATAGGTCCTTTCTCTTCCACCTCCTGAATATGGATTTTGGACCTAATCCCATTGCATGTTTGGGGTGAAGAGGCCTAAGCCATTCAATGAAAGATTCTGCCAGGGGTGGGGGTCGGGGGGTCGGGTAGGAATGGACATAGCGTCAGGCCCTGTTGTCTGCAAACAGAGCCAGTATGCTAGTTCTTTCTTATTCAGTATGCTGTTTCCTTTTAATACCATACTTTTGATACCATTAACCATGACATCCTTCTGGACCGTCTAGGAGCTGGCAGCCGGGGGCACTGTTATACAGTGGTTCCGCTCCTTCCTCCTGGGTCGTGTCCAGAAAGTGGTGTTGGGGGATGAGTGATCAGACCCCTGGGCTCTTACTTGTGGGGTGCCTCAGAGTTCTGTCCCCCTTGTTTTTGAATATCTATTTGAACCCGCTGGGAGAGATCATCAGAGGGTTTGGGCTGGGTGTTCATCAGTCTGTGGATGATACCTAGCTCTAAGGAGGTGAAGGTCCTGTGTGAGTGTCTGGAGGCGGTTGGAGGACGGATGGCAGCTAACAGATTGAGGTTGAATCCTGACAAGACAGAAGTACTATTTTTGGGGGACAGGGAGCAGGTGGGTGTGAAGGACTCCCTGGTCCTGAATGGGGTAACTGTGCCCCTGAAGGACCAGGTGCGCAGCCTGGGAGTCATTTTGGACTCACAGCTGTCCATGGAGGCGCAGGTCAATTCTGAGTCCAGAGCAGCTGTCTACCAACTCCACCTGGTACGCAGGCTGAGACCCTACCTGCCCGCAGGCTGTCTCGCCAGGGTGGTGCATGCTCTAGTTATCTCCCACTTGGACCACTGCAATGCGCTCTATGTGGGGCTACCTTTGAAGGTGACCTGGAAACTACAACTAATCCAGAATGGGGCAGCTAGACTGGTGACTGGGAGTGGCCAGTGAGACCATATAACACTGGTCCTGAAGGACTTACATTGGCTCCCAGTACGTTTCCGAGCACAAATCAAAGTGTTGATGCTGACCTTTAAAGCCCTAAATGGCCTCGGCCCAACATCCCTGAAGGAGCGTCTCCACCCCCATCGTTCAGCCCAGACACTGAAGTCCAGCCCCAAGGGCCTCCTGGCGGTTCCCTCACTGTGATAAGTGAGGTTACAGGGAACCAGGCAAAGGGCCTTCTTGGTGCTGGCGCCTGCCCAGTGGAATGCCCTCCCACTAGATGTCAAGGAGATAAACAATTATCTGACTTTTAGAAGACATCTGAAGGCAGCCGTGTTTAGGGAAGTTTTTAATGTTTGATGTTTTCTTGTGTTTTTACATCCTGTTGGAAGCCACCCAGAGTGGCTGGGGAGGCCTGGCCAGATGGGCGGGGTATAAGTAATAAATTATTATTATTATTATTATTATTATTAGCCTTTATTTGTACAGTGCATTTCAAGCGTAAAAAGCATCTCTCTCTCTCTCTCTCTCTCTCTCTCTCTCTCACACACACACACACACACACACACACACTTACAACAGCCCTGCAAAATAGGACAGTGTTGCTCCCCTGTTGCTATAGTGGGGGCTGAGGCTGAGAGAAGATTGACTTGTTTAAGGCAGCTAGTGCATTTGTTTCCAGATATGGATTTGAACCAGTGACTTCTGCCTTAAGTTTGACTACTATCCTGAGCTCACTTCCTTCTTTCCTCATTTTCTCTCTCCAGAAAGGCTTTATTTACACTATTCTGGTGGTTCATGTAACCTGTGTCCCCTACACCTTTCCTAGCTGCAAGATTACTTCTGAAGGATGCGTCAACCAGAGCTTCAGATGAAGATATGAAGCTGCAAATGGCACATTTCTCAGTCATTTGTGTAGCACTTACTGCTTACCATTCAGTGATTAATTATGTAAACGAAAAATTAAAAACCCACATCAGAGTTGGAAACTGGGCTGGATCTAGACACATCAGAGAAGCATTTCAATTAAATGTGTTGCAAACTTTGTATGAGAAATCAGGTTAGCAAAAACAGAACTCCACAGCGCCATCTGGTGTCACAGTGTTAGAATACATAAACAACACGTATAAAGTGTTTTTGTTCTTCGCTAATGTAGCTGAGTTCCTGGACTCGAATATCAACTCAGCTCTATGGACTTAGTGGAACAGCTCACTCCCTCACATCAGCCTCGGTTCCCCAAATGTCAATTAGAAATAAGTTGGTGTCCTGCCTTACAGAATTATTTACTATAAATATTGTAAAGCACTTTGTGATATGCAGCTGTGGTCAGTTCTGGCGAGGCCAAGAACTCGAGTCGAAAACACAGGGGGGGGGGGGGAGGAGCCAGGGAGGGCTCTGGTTGTGCAGCAAAAACTCCCATCATCTTGGAGATTCAAAGTTGGCAAACTGTTACAATACCTGTTAATCTCATGCGGAAGAATTTCAGGGCATCTTTATTGGGCAAATGTTTAGATCCATGTGGGGGGAAGGTATTCATCCATTACTATCTTAAGGAAATATTTACAGTGGTACCTTGGGTTAAGTACTTAACTCATTCCAGAGTTCCGTTCTTAACCTGAAACTGTTCTTAACCTGAAGCACCACTTTAGCTAATGGGGCCTGCTGCTGCTGCCGCGCTGCCGGAGCACGATTTCTGTTCTCATCCTGAAGCAAAGTTCTTAACCTGAGGTACTATTTCTGGGTTAGCGGAGTCTGTAACCTGAAGCGTCTGTAACCTGAAGCGTATGTAACCCGAGGTACCACTGTACTCAGCAGGGAGGGACTAGATGGTTGCAAAATCTTGCACCCAGCATCTTGAGGGGCATTAGGCTGTAACTCACCAGGTGTTGCAAAAATCAAGAGTTATTATTCAAACAAGGTTAGCTCTCATTGGTACCTTATTCCTCCTGCCCCTCAACCCTAGCAAATTCTTTGTATTCTGACCTCACAGGGAAAGCAGTGATGAGGTCAGAGCAGAGCCCCCCAGCTCCCTTCCCCTCTCCCTCCCTCAGCATCCTCTGAGCAAAGCCTGGAACAAAGTCCTGCCTAAAAAAGGACCGACTCCCTCTGGTCAGGCCCAGGCAGAAACCACCGTCTCTGACTCAGGCATGTGGGGAATGTCTTTGGAAGGCTCCTTCGTCACTGTCTTTTGGAGTCTTTCCCCAAATATGGTGTCTGGAGAGCGGAGTGGTGTGGGGGTAGCTTGGTGGGGAAGGGCTGGCGATGATGTCACTGGTCAAGGAGCTGGAAGAGCCTTTTAGCCCCAGTCCCAGCCTCCGCTGGCTGCAGAGCGTGGCCAGAGCATCATCGGAGGAGAGCAACGCAGAGCAGCTCCTAGTAAGTGCCGCTTTTTAGGTGTTCTTGGGAAACAAGTGTATGGGGTGCTGGGCAGAGGGACGATGGAGCTGTTGGGCTGGTTATACTGGTGGCAGTGCAGCACATTTCAAATGACTTAAGCAGGCAATGGAGAAGTTGCACATCCCAAGAGCGTCTGGTTTCTTCTTCACCTGTAGCGAGCCAGGCGTGCTCTTGGAAGAAAGGCACACAGGCAATGGGATGGATACATTCCAAACTCTACTCCACAGACAATCCATGGCTAAATGGGTCCTCCATCTGCAGCGGCTAATACAGACCCTCCAAGCGTCCCTATTCCCAGGAACAGTCCCGGATTTACAGAAGCCGCCCCTGTTTCTGATTTGATCCCGAAATGTGCCACTTTTCCTTAGGACATCCCTATTTTCATTGGAGAAAGCTTGTAGCTAAGTGACCCCCAAGCCAAGGAGATGAGCAACTATACAGTGGTACCTCGGGTTACATACGCTTCAGGTTACATACGCTTCAGGTTACAGACTCCGCTAACCCAGAAATAGTACCTCGGGTTAAGAACTTTGCTTCAGGATGA